GTCAGGGGCGGGGTCTGCCGCCGGGGCCGGGGCCTGACGCCGGGGCGGGGCCTCGGAGTCGCGGCATGGGCGGAGCCTCCCTGTTCCCCGTCCCGCCGGAACTCAAGCCCCTTCGCCAGGAAACCTTTGCCTCCCAGGCTCTTAGTGGCCCAGGAAGCAAGTGTCATGCCACCACCTCTCAATCACGCAAAGACTCGTCCACAACCCCTGCCACGCCGCGGGGTTTGTGGATGTTTGGGGGGGCAGGGAGGGATTTGTGATTAGGCCCCTCCTCTCTCTCGCTCGCTCAGGCTCGCTCTTGCTCTCGCTCTCGCTCTCCTCCTCCCTGACTTGTTTGCACTAAAAAATCTAATTAACATAGCGTAACATGTTGCACTTTACATTACTAACCACGACCTTAGAGATGACATTGCTATCTTTGGGGAAAATCGATATCCATGTGACGTTGGATACCGTTAATTAAAATCACAGGAAGATATTGCACACCTACCAGACTGGCTAAAATATGAAATAGTGATAACACCAAATGCTGACAGGAATACAGAGACATTGGCTCACTCATACATTGTGGTGGGAATGCAAAATATTACAGCCACTCTGGAAAAGAGAGTGCAGTTCCTTTAAAACAAAATATTCTATTTCCATATGACCCAATAATTATACTCCCGGGCATTTATCCCTGGGAAAGATTTATGTTCACACACAGAGAGACACACACAAACCTGAATGAATATTTATAGTCCTTTATTCATAATAGTAACACCTGAAAACCCCATAGTAAACAGAATATTGTCCTCCCAAAGATGTACAGATTCTAATGCCTAGAACCCATGAATGTGTTACCTACATGGTGATTAAACTAAGAACCTTGCAACTGGAGATTATTCTGGGTTATGCAGTAAAATAAGAGAGGAAAGAGATGACTTAAAGACTATTTATAATTTAAAGGGAAGCAAAATGGAAGGATTTGGGAAAATTGTAGCTTGGGCCTGTGGTAGAGGATGAAAGAGCATTTTCAGCAGAGGAAACCAACAGAGCGTCCAAGCAACTAACTGATGAGTAGATGGAATGAAGCCATAGGCCATTCATTAGGATAGTAGAAGAGAAATCTGGAAGGCATTTCAGACATCTTCAAGGCCACCTCTCCCATCACAGGTCCAGAGCTCTAGAGGGACAGAATGGTTCTTAGGTATAGGCTGCTGCTCAGGGTCATTTCAGGATTCTGCTCCTTGCATTTCAGTGCAACACGCCTTTGTTGACCCAGATGTGTCTCAAGTGGCCCCAGATGCATCTTGGCCTGATGCTCAAAAAGGTACAAGTTGTAAATTTTGTCGATGTCTAGGTGGTGGTAATTCTGCAGAATTTAAGAACTGTGGGTGCATGGCTTCTTCCACCTACATTTCAAAGGGTGTTATGAATAGCCTGAGGATCACAGATTTGTCACAGGAGTGGAGCCACCATAGGGAGGCCCTGGTAGGACAATGCTGAGCAGGAATGTGGGACTGGAGCTTGAAGCACCACAGCCCCACTAGGGTAATGTGGAACCATAGGGGCAAGCCACCCCCAAGATCCCAGTACTGTAGAACTGCCAGCCTGGAAGAACTGCAGGCAGAGAGTCCAACCTGTGAGAAACACTGCATGGGCTGAGTCTGACAAAGTCACAGGTGGAAGTCTACCCAAGGCTTTGGGGCCCAAACCCTTAAGAATGTCCAAGATTGTGCACAAGGGGTGAAATGTCATTCTGTAGCTTTAAGGTTTAATGTTGCTTTTCCCTGTTGGGTTTTGAACTTACCTGGGACCAGTTACCTTTTTTTCTTGCCTCTTTCCCCCTTTTGCAAGAAGAATATCTATACTACAACTGTCCCACACTGTATTTTGTATGTTAATTTGTTCTAATTTCACAGCTCACAGCTTGAGGAAATTCATCATGTGTTAGAGTAGGCCTTAAGGGGCCGGCAGTTGTCATGGTGGTTAAGGTGCTGACTCCCATATGGTTGACTGCAGTTCTACTCCTGGACCTGGTGGCTTGCAACTTGCACCAGCGCATGTGCATGCACGCCCCAAATCTTGAAAGGAGAATGGAGGAGAGGGTCTGTGATGTGGACATCCTCCCTGGGAGGTGACTTCTCCTTTCCCTCTCTCTGTTTCTCTTTCTCTGGTGAGGGAACACCCTATGGCAAAAGCCTATAAAAAATTTAAAAAAAAAGTGCTCTGTGTTTTACCCATATCTGATTTTTTAAAATGTTTTTAAACAAAGAATTATTTAATTCCATTTTTTACTATTAATTTTTTATTTGACCAGAGACAGGGACAGAGAGAGAAAAAAAAGGGAAAGCGAGAAAGCAAGGTGCCAGGTCTGGGTCCGGGACCTGAACTGTGGTCAGCCATGTGGGAATCCAGTGCCCTTAATCACCACGCCACCTGCTGGCCCTGACATTAGGCTTTTGAGTTGGTGCTGGCATGAGTTAAAACTTTAGGGACTATTGGGATGGGAAGAGTGTATTTAGTACATGAGGAAACATGAATTTTGGTGACTGGGGCAGAATGCTGTGGTTTGAATGAGTCTCCCAAATTCACGTGCTGGAAACGTAATATCCCCAAGGAACAGTGTTGGAAAGTGGGGCCTAATAAGAGGTGATAAGGGCAGAACCACATACATGGATTAATGTTATTATGCTAGGAGTAGGTTAGCTACTACAAGAACAGGTTGTCACAAAGGAAGCCTGCCCTTCTGACTCGCCCTCTGTCTCTCCCTTGTTTCCGCCTCTGCCCTTTGCCATGGGATAACACAGCAAGAAGGTCCTCACTAGATTAAACCCCTTTATCTTGGACTTCCTAGTCTCTGGGACTGTAATAAATAAATTGCTTTACTTTCCAAATGACCCAATCTGTAGTATTTTTTATAGCAGCAGAAAGTGGACCAAGACAGAGACTAGCCAGCTATGTAGTGGCAAGATGATTTTTTTTTTGGAGAGGTTTTTGCTATAGGGCGCGTGCGCTCGCCAGACAGACAGAGAGAGAGACAGACAGAAAGCGAGAAATCACCCCCCAGGGGGGATGGTCACGCCGCAATCCCTTCTCCTCCATTCTCCTCTCGGGATCTTGGGCACGCACGCACACGCACCCGGCGTGAGTTCTAAGCCACCGGGTCCAAGACGCGAACCGCAGTTGACTACGTGGGAGTCCAGCGACATAGCCATTATGCTAACTGCTGGTTCCCGCAAGATGATTCTATCAACCTCCTTCCAGCATGAGGGCCAGCAGTTCATCCTTACTGAAATTAATACATTTTCAAAAGATTTAACTTTATTTATTTTAATTTGACCAGAGAGAGACAGTGTGAGGGAGAGAGGGAAAGTGAGAAAGCAAGCCACTAGGTCCAAGACTCGAACCGCGGTTGACCATGTGGGAGTCCAGCATCCTTAACCACCATGGCACCTGCTGGCCTGAAATTAATACATTTTGTATGTGTATGTGTGTGTGTGTGTATTTCTTGTAAATAATCCTTGCAAAATTTTTCTTAAGTATCGCTCCATTAATCCATATCTATTTAATATTTTGTGCAATGAAATGGCAAGTATGCATAAAACATTCCATTTTTTTTTGGAGAGGTTTTTGCTATAGGGCATGTGTGCTCACCAGAAAGATAGAGAGATAGAAAGCGAGAAATCACCCCCCAGAAGGGATGGCCATGCCGCAATCCCTTCTCTTCCTTTCTCCTCTCGGGATCTTAGGCATGCATGCACACGTACCCGGCATGAGTTTATGCCACCAGGTCCAGGACTCCAGCCGTGGTCAACTACATGGCAACATAGCCATTATGCCAACCACTGTTTCTTGCATAAAACATTTCTGCTGTACACAGAAGTGTGATGTTGACTTGAGAAAATATGTGTGGGGTCAGCCCTGTAGCCTACTCATTAAAGGAGCCAGATCCCACATGGCCAACCACAATCCTGGCCCAGCAGCTTCCAAAACACACTTAGAAATGTAGTCTATTCTGACCAGCTATATGCCCAGAAGGAAGGGGAGGAAAGGTAACCAGGAAGATGATTAAGAATCTATACTCCAGAACCAGCAGATGGCATTATGGCTACATTGCTGGACTCCCATGTAGTCGATTGCAGTTTGAGTCCCAGACCCAGTGGCCTGAAACTCACACCAGCTGCATGTGAGTGCATGCCCAAAATCCTGAGAGGAGACTGGAGGAGAAGGTACTGTAGCATGGCCATCCTCTCTGGAGGATGATTTCTTGCTTTCTGTCTCTCAGTCTCTCTGTCTCTTCAGTGCACGCATGCACCCTACAGCAAAAATCTCTCTTAAAAAAAAGTATCTATACCCCAATCCTTCCTTTATTCAAGAAATATTCACATGCACCTTTTTTTACATATGTCTTTCCATATGTAAAAGACACCAATTCTCTCCCAAGGCAGGTAGCTTTAAAGTTTCATAAACAAAGAAGAAATTGGGAGCAATGAAATGTTCGAGGAGCTACCCTGGGACTCTAGAGTAGTGAGAGACCTGTGCCAGTAGACCTAGGAAACACCCTCACTTCTCACCTCCCTATGCCTCAGCCATCTGTCCCCAATACAGCCTGACCAAAGTGATCTGGTGCTCAGACCCAACTCTCCTGCAGGGGGAAGGCAGAAACGGGCAGAACATGGAGGCTGCAGTTTGGGATGTGGTACCCTGCCCCCGTCTTGCTTTCAGTCTCTCTCACTTCCTCCTTCCCAGAAGCACACTCAGCTGCAGAGCTCCTGCAGCAAGGCCGATGGCTCTGAGGAGCACAGACAGCAGACCCAGTGCACTGGCACCATCCTCTAGCCCACATCGGTGTAGACAGGGCCTCCACTCACTGCGGTCTCAAAAGAATCATTAACATCTCACTATACTTAACGGGAGGGACACTTGTCTTCGGTGTCCCCAAACCCCAGGTGAGCAGAGCTTCCGGGCACACAGGGGACTCTCCACACGTTTATTCAGTTGACGTCGGAAATCTCTGCACTCCGTAACCGCCTCAACACAACGTGGGGTGTTCCTGGATGTGGCCTTAGGGCACTGAGGAAGGGGGGCCAAGACTGGGGTGCCCCAGGAGGGCGAGTGTGGCAGAGGCTGTCTGCTCACACACGGATCCACACAGGGGCACAGGGGTACGTCTCCCGGCCCCAGACAATTAGGCAGAGGTGTAAGTCCTGGGCCTCGCACCTCTGCAGGGGCCTGGCAGTGCCACCGTCACTCTCTGAGCAGTCACCAGGCTGACTGGTTGGAAGGTCTTGGGTGAGAGCCCCGAAACCAGGACCAGGTCTGACACCTGCGTCACCACAGACGACGTCTCCTCTTCGTAGGAGTTCTCCAAGATGGCGATGAGCATGCTCACCTCAGGTCAGCGGCCCTCCAGCGGGACTCGGCTCCCCCTCCTCCACCCAGGCAGAGCACAGCCCAGGAGGGAGGTGAGCAGCACACCGGGCCGGGACACTCCAGGCCCCAGTTCCCCGCCATGCTCTACTGTGTGGCTCTGCAACAGGTCCAACTGGGATTTGAGGACAGGACAGTTGAGGAGGAAGGGGAAGTGGCTGGAGGAGAGGCCCAAGTGTGAGACTCAGAAATGGGAAGGGTGTGGGCCGGGGTGATCACGGGGTGCCCAGGATGCCCGGGGGCAGCAGCAGACATGAGAGTAGGATGAGGAACACCACTGGAAGCAGAGAGGTGGCCTGGTTCACCACGGCGAGCATCCAGCTGCTGTAGTGACCAACTTCCGTGTACACTCCGGGCACCTCGTGACGACCACAGCCGATGCCCCAGCTCACAATCCCCACCTGGATCCACGTGTTATTATATTCACAGGTCATGGGGCCTCCAGAATCGCCCTGCGGAAAAAGAAAGAACACATTCCAGGAACGGAAGAGAGCACAACAAGCAGGCTGATTAAGCTGCGAGGGGTCGGGGAGACGGATGTGGACAGGGATTTCCCAGGGCCTCCCAGGCCCGGGGCTCTGGGAATAGGCATGTGAACTGAGCATGTGACCACTGAGAGACGAATGGGAATGCAGTTCTCTTCCCTCTGTGCATGTGCATTGCTGTCTCGGGCACCGTCTCCAACACCTGCTGGCTGGGGTCCTGGATAGTGTCTCTTCTACATGAACAGCTGAGCTGTCCACAGCACCCTGGAGTCTAAACTTCCCAGAGCAACGAGCGTATTTGTGTCTTCTGTTATGACCTCTTCAAACCTTACTACTTTTTAAAAAAATTAGTAAAAAAAAAAAAAAAAGACTTTAATATTCGCAGGGGCTATTCCGACCGGCCACTTCCCAGAGCACGGTGGTTGCTAAACATTTTGCATACCACCCACGTCCTCACGCTTAGCCCGAAGTGTCCTCCGGCCCTCCTAACCCACACAGTTCATCCTCTCCATATTTTAAGTTCCCTTCTCAGACATCCCCACGTACCCCGACTCAAGCAGAACTCTGCAGGTCATTTCCCACCAACGGCCACGTCAGCGGGTCCTCCTGGATGTCTCCCCAACCCACTGCCATGGGTATCGGTCACACGGACAATGACTGGACCTCACACACACCTCCACCCCCTGCCTCGGGGCCCCAGACCCTGCCTGAGACTCACTGCCTGCTGACGACAACGGCTCTCGTGCACCACCCAGCTCAAGGACACAGTGTCTCCAAAGGCCCACCTGTTACTCGCCCATACCACGGCCCAGCCCTGAACTGGCGGAGTCTAGAAACCTGACACAGCACTCCAAGCCACGCGTATTCCCTGTCAGTCCACTTCTCTGGCCACACTTACTACCTCGCTGCATGAGAAGTTCCCTCACACCTCTGAGCTACCGGACATGCTGTTCTCCTCTTTCTATGAAATCCAAGTACTCAGGCCGGCAGGTGGCGTGGTGGTTAGGGGCGCTGGACTCCCACATGGTCGACCGCAGTTCGAGTCCCAGAACTGGCAGCATGTTTTCTCACTTTCTCTCTCTCTCTCTCTCTGATCAAATTAAAAAAAAAAAATTTAATAAATAACTTAAAAGAAAAAAAAAAGGAGTCCAAGTAGTCATCCTCTAAGGTCCCAATGTCCCCTCCTCAGGAAGATAGCTTGGTGCGGAGGGACGGGCCTGGGCCTTCGTCCATGTACTCCCAGGAGCACTGTGATCTAACGACTTCAGGTGTCACCTTCCGTAAGTATACAGTAGGTGTGATGTGAGTCGACCGCGATAACGAGGCACAGCCCTGTGGCATGGTGAGGGCCATGTACGAGGACCCAGATTCGGACGACATAACATACCAGCAGTACCTCCCCCAGCTTCCCAGCACCTAGCAGCGCCTGCAGGCCCGAGGGCTGCTCCCTTCGGAAGGAATAGGCCAGGCCAGCCAGGCGGAGGTGAGGGGCTTCTTCCCACGAACCTCCTTAACTCAAGTAGGGTAAACGGATGAAGTCGTAAGAGCCTCGGGCTCTGCCGCCTGGGCAGGAGGACCGCGCCGTGAGCTCACCTGACAAGAATCCTTGCCTCTTTCTCTATAGCCACAGATCATCCCTCTCAGCACGGCCTCCCTGGGAAAGGGCAGGGCCTTCTGTATCATCTCATTGCATTTTTGATAGAGGACGATGTACTGGTCCACCTCCTGGAGAACTTCTGGCAAAAACTTTTCTACTGGAAAACAGAGACCGACAGCGCGCCAATCTGCACTGAAAGTGTGCGCCCACACACCCAGCATGCCCTGGGATAGGCGGGGCCGTCAGACACAGGAGAAAACCGACATTCGAAGCTGACAGGGGAGAGGACGATATAAGAAGCAAAACCAAGACAGAAGGAGGAAGAATATTCCAGAAGGAAGTCAAGGCCTCAACGGCCTGAGAAATCTGGCCTTGGTACTAATCGTGACAGGGCGTCCTGGGCTCAGTAGAGCACCTTTACTTTCTAGACCCGGTTCATAAACTTTGGACAGGGAATGCCCCAAAGGTTCGAAAGCTAGCCTCTCTAGGACCAGCAGTTGACATAATGGCTATGTCGCTGGTCTCCCGTGTAGTCGACCACAGTTCGAGTCCTGGACCTGGTGGCTTAAACTCACGCCAAGCATGTGTGCATGCATGCCCAAGATCCCGAGAGGAGAATGGAGAAGGGATTGCAGCGTGGCCATCCCCCTGGGGGGGTGATTTCTTGTTTTCTGTCTCTCTGTCTCTCTGGTGAGCACACGTACCCTATAGCAAAAACCTATCAAAAATAAAAAAGAAAAAGAAAGAAAGAAAGAAAAGGAAAAAAATAAAAAGAAATTTAGCCTCTCCCCAGGAACAGGAGGCCCTATAGCCTTGCCAACAGGAGTCTTCTGGCTCCATCTACACCCCCACTGACAGAGGTCCCCTCCCCATCAAGGCAGTACTTCCCATGAGGACCAGCTCTGACTGGCAGGGAGCTCATTAAGAACCTTCCAGCATGTGGTTCTGTCACCAGGGAGCCAGACCGGCCAAGCACGGTGCAGTGCCCACAAATCCACAGGAGACCTCGCCATGCGTTTCTTCTCCTGGCTGGGCAACTACAGTTCCCAGGACAGGCTGCGTTCTTTCCTAAATGGCTCCCATCACACATTCGTATTTCAGCTGAATTTCTGGGGTCTCCAAGCCAGCAGGGAACCACTGCCAGGCCCTCTGATAAACTGCTCCCCCTCACCCACCGGCCTCTTGACCCTCTCTTTGGCCTTCATGGCTACCCCAGGCTGCCTCCCTCTGCCCAGGGGTTGATTCCTGCCGTGAAGACTCACCAGCTTCCGCTGTTCTGCCCCATCCAGTTACCCAGCACCTGGTCCCAGCCACCACCTGGAAAGCCGCCTGGGGAATGCAGATGGGCTGGATGGTGGTGGAAAAGTTCACGGGGTGGTGGAGGTGCAGGAGGGCAAGGTCGTTCTTCACGGTCACAGACGTGGTGAACCGAGGGTGGACGATGATGTTTCTGACCGGGACCACCACACTGGTGCTCTCTTCATAGATGCTCCGGTCTCCCATCTTGACACTGTAATGGAAACGGCTGTGGGGACAGCACACAGCCCTCCTGGAGACCCTGGGAAGCGTCCCTGGGCCTCTGTCACACATTTCAGACGCTTCCCGGCCTGGCCTCGACCTCCCCACCACTCTACCACGAAGCCCCGGTTCTCAGTCACTCTCCGAACAGGCTTGCTTGCCCCCTGGAGTATTCTCAGGAACCAGACTCCCCAGGCAGAATGCCTCCCATGTTCCCTGACTTTTTGTATTTTTTAAGAGGTTTTTGTCTTATTAGAGCGTGTGTGCTCGCCAGAGATAGAGAGACAGAGATAGTGAGAGTGAAAGAGAGAAATCTCCCCCCCGGGGTGGGGGGAGGCAGGTAGATGGCCACACCACAATCCCTTCTCCTTCATTCTCCTCCTGGGATCTTGGGCACACACACACACACACACACGTGTCTGGTGTGATTTTTAAGTCACCAGGTCCAGGACTCGAACTGGAGTTGGCCATGTGTGAGTCGGGCAACATGACCACTAGGCCATCTGCTGGTCCCCCCCCATGTTTGCTGTTTTGTTTGGCATTTGCCATCTGCCTGGACAAGGGAACCGAACGGTGTTTCAAGGGCAGGCTGAGAACAGGGCCCCCACCTGGCCACTTGCGCGCTCACCTTAAAATACAGTGGGCGGCGGTCAGGACCCACTGCGCGTTGATGAGGGAGCCTCCGCAGACGTGCTTGCGGTTGATCCTCACGCTCACCTGCCAGGGCCACTTCCCCTCGGCGGCGTCAACGCCTCCCACGATTTTCAGGGTGGAGTGACCGCACACTGAGGGGACGATAGAGAACGCAAAGAAGCAGGCCTGTCTGCCGGACTTCCGGGGGAAGTGCCCCAGGGAGCCGCCAGGGCGGCGGGGAGGGCCTGCTCCGCACCCGGGGCCACCTTTGGCAAAGGG